GACTTCTGGGCTCGGGGAAACTTGTACGGAAGAGGAAGCATTTGAAGGAGGCTTGCAGAATGTAGAATTAGTGCTGAGGTGGGTGCATGGAGACAAGGAAATTCCAGTTACAGAAAAACAGTGAGAGCAGGGTATGGAAGGAGGAATAGCAGATCTTCAGGTTGGTGAGAACACAGCATGTGTAAACAGATAATCAGAAATTATTATTGAAAACAGTTATTCCAATAAATTATAGGAAATGCTAACTGCTGCCTAAAGGTCAGTTTTCCGTTTTTAAATGACACTTGCCAAACATGTCTTTGTAAGTACAACTTAGTTCTTTACGTATAAATTTTCATTGACTAGGGTAAGGATTTCAAGTTCAGGTAACATAAGTCATCTTCTCAGATGTTGGTTTATAGTTTTAGAGACTGTTGTGCAAAAATATTTTACTATGGTCTTACTTTTTAAATCTTTGGAGGCTTAAAGTAAACCTGTAGTCTTTGGATAACTTTATTCTCATCACACTTAGAAATTCATTAATCCTTTAAATTGCATTTTCATGTGAACTGCATCCCTGTGTCTATCTTCAAATAGCTTAGCTTTGTCTTCCAGCTCTTTCTGTTCCTTTGGCAGCGTTTGTTATTATTCACTGCAGAATCTGCCTGACTTGGATATTTATTACTGGTTTTTCCCCTAGATAAGCCAGATAAATATGATCCACGTGATGTTGAAAGGCTACAACAAGATGATAACTGGGTTGAAAGCTACTTATTTTGGAGACATGATGTTGTAGATGAAACATTGAAGATGCTTGATGAGAGTTTTCAGTGGAGGAAAGAAATGGCTGTCAATGGTAAGCTGTTCAACTTAAGCTTGACTGTATACCATCCCCTGCACAAATGTTACTGGTTTACTATTATGTAATAGCGTATTTGCAAATATCCTTGGCAGTCATCATCAACATCAGAATATAATGTTTTATACATGAACAGTCCCAATAACACTTTGAAAGGAGTGTCATATGACTAGGTCTAAGGTGGATCATTTGAAAGGCAATCAAATCACCAGGGAGCAGAATCACACTCAGATTCTTCACCCACAGCAGTCTCGTAGTCTGTACTTGTTTAGTTTGGTGACATTAAGCGATAGCAAGACAGCATCTTCACTATCAGACCTAGACAGAAGGCGGTACTATTTGCCTATTTTTCTCTGTTGTTGACTTATGTCTTTCTCTATCCCCAGAATTCCTTGTGCTAATAGGGGTTCCATACAGAATTAATGAACAGGGGTCCCCGAAAAGCAACTTATCCCCAAGGATGCCTTTCGCAGCCTTCTTTTAACTGCTTAATTTCCAGGCCCACTTCAAGATTGAAATTTTCTCCACAAACAGGAGTTTTCAAACTTAGAGGGGGTTTTATAATAGTCTTCAAGTATATAGAGAACTCTTCTCAGGAAAGGTTACCCATTATCTCTCTCCTCCTAAAAATTTACCAAGAAACTGGCAGAACTACTGACTTTGGTAGGGTATAAAGAAGGATTTCCTGACCTTGAGGATTATAAACTCTGCAGTGACTAGGTCTGGAGACATACAAAATAGTCAACAAATCCAGAGCAGACATTCTCCCCAGTCTTCACACTTATAAAAGGAATCCATCAGAAGGGAAGTATTTAAAAAATAATTTGGCCCAGCCGGGCGTAGCTCAGTGGTTGAGCATCGACCTAGGATTCAGGCGATTGGGGTTCGATTCCCGGTCAGGGCACATGCCCGGGTTGTGGGCTCGATCCCCAGTCGGGGCGTGCAGGAGGCAGCCGATCAATGACTCTCATCATTGATGTTTCTATTTCTCTCTCTCCCTCTCCTTTCCTCTGAAATCAATAAAGATATATTTAAAAAATAATAATAATAATTTGATTGGAAATGTCAAAACTGTAGATAATTTCAACGAACAGTGAAACATTTATTAATCAAGCAAAGAAATATAAATCTCATCTTTCTAAATCACTTAAGTACAGAATAAACTTTTAACCTTAATAGTTTGTCTTATATAGAATTGCTTGTTTCTAGCGGCAAACAGCAGATAGATGATGGGGGGGGGGGTACAGAAATCTTTGAAAGTTCAAAGTGAACGTAACAAAAGCCTTGGCGCTTACTGCCTTGCGCTGTTGGTTATCAGCCTCACTAGAGACCGAGCAGCCCATTTTGTTCCCCTGCTAAAGGAGCTAGCATTTTTCTTGAAGTGTTTTCCACTTGCCCCAAGATTATAAAATATATTAAACTGCTGGGTGTCAAACTTTGTAGAAAAATAGTATTTTGTGAAAAAAACTACAGATGTTTTCATTAATTTTGAAGCTGTCATGTGGATATTTACTGGCATGTTTCCTTGAAATTGTCCAGTAGTGATAATGTTTTGCAAGTACAACCAGAACATGGAAATGTGTCCATATAAATAATGACTGATGTGTCAAAGGGCAATGGATGGTTTTCATTTCTCTCATTTGTCTTTACTTAGTTTGTTTACTTAGTAAGAAACACCATTTTTTATTGCCATTCTGTCCAGATGTTTGAAAAAGCTTTATCTTTTTATTATATCAGAATTGCTATAGAATTTTAACCTTTAATTGTGTTTTCTTTTTGAAAAGTCCCCTAAGTTATGATTACTCATCAAAGTTTATCACTTTTTAGATCTTACTGAATCCTCTATTCCCAGATGGCTATTGGAAATTGGTGGTATTTATCTCCATGGTTATGACAAAGAAGGCAACAAGCTGTGTAAGTATATTTAACTTGTGTACTGGCTTTTCACGATTCTGAGATGTACTTACCTATCTCAACAGAATTAGTAAAAGCCAGCACTTTATTTGCACCGCACAGCACATCGGCTGCCGTTGGGGGTGTCTAGGGCCATGGTGACTGGGCATCAGAGGCTCGCCAGCTGTGCTACTGCTTGTGTTACAGTGAAGCGGCCGGCGGCAAGTGCTGCACCCGCTAAGGCAGCCGAAATAATGTCATTCAGAGTCATTATCTTTGCAGTTTGACTGTGATATTAAAATTCAGTCCAATATTTTTACAGAAAACCTTTTTTGATAGCCCCTAATGGTGGATGAGTGGATCTGTTTCTTTTCCAGTTCCCCACTCTGCCCCCCTTAGCTTCTTCCTCGGTGTGTGTGGAAGCAGGAGGAACAGTGACACTCGTCCCTGCGGTCCTGGCGACTCTCTTCCCTCCCCTTCCCGAAGTCCAGCATGGCTCGCAGCCAGGCTCGGACCCGCAGGGGTGTCAGAGCCCCGTCCCCCGGGGCCAGTGCACCTTGCTGGCCCCTGTGGCGTGCGCTCTGCTCCTGTTTGAAGAGCACTCTCTGCATTTGCCTCTGTCGCTGGCTCCTCCTCAGGCTTCTTTCTCATTTCTCTTTCCACTGGTCCCCTAAATGTGCTTCCCTGGCTTCATTCCTTTCTTGGCCTCCCTTCCTTTTCTTACTTTCCAGCTGATACAGCCTCCTTGGGTGATGTCAAGTACCTTGACAGCTTCAGCTGCCTCCCTCCAAACAGTAGTGAGCCCACACAGCCCCCAGGTACATGCAAGTGTTTGCCCAGCTGCCCACTTACCGGTGCCACCAGATTGATTGCCAGCCGGCTGCCCTCGACACAACACGCAGCTGAACGCCCACATGCCACCCCCTGCTCTGCCCAGCCCAGGCCAGCAGTCACGGCTCTGCCCCTCTCCTTCCCCCAGCCCTGCTCGCCCCCTGCTCCCCAGGCCCTCCCGGGGCATCACCCGGCGGTGCCCTCTCTGCCTCCTCCAGTCTCCCCTCTGGGCTGCTGCCTGAGAGATGTTGTCAGCAGGGAAATCAAAACACCTTAGCCTTTCATTCAGGGTCCTATTTAGCTTCTCTTCTCACCACGCATCACATTTTGTCCCAGCGGCCGCCACTCTGAGTACCTTGTCACACTCCGCCCACATGGAGGACACCAGCTCACCGTCCATACTGCCTCCATCGGGCTTCTCCTCCAGATGGAGCATTTTTTCTAGTGCTTGATGGAAACAGTGGTAGTCTTTTTTTGTTGGTAAGCACACTGAAGAGTACTCTTAGGTTATTACCAAATATTGTTTGTTCACTTGTATTTTCTTTCCCCCTTACTTACTAATGAAGTTTATTTATTTCCTAAGGGGGTGGGAAAAAGTTTCCTTCTTCCTACTGTTTAAGGTTCCTAAGTACATAGTATTTCTTATTTTAAAGAAGGAAGAGATGTTTTTAATCTGAGAAACAAAGTGAATTATAAATGGAAAAAATGAAAAGGGAAAGAATGATATAAAACAATATTATAATGCCATAAACATTTTTCTTATTTTGATCTAATGTTCTGCTGAAAGTATGGATCAGGGTGAAGTATCATATAAAAGATCATAAAACCATACTGGACAAAAAGAAGCTTATCACATTCTGGTTGGAACGTTACGCTAAAAGAGAAAATGGGAAACCTATCACAGTGATGTTCGACCTGTCAGAAACTGGAATCAACAGCATAGTAAGCATTTCTCAAAACTCTAAGTCATTGTTTATCATGGTGTGCTTCCTCTCTCCTGTCCTCCCTGCCATTCACCCCAACCAAATAATGCTATACAGTGAGCTAACCAGGTAGTGTTTGGGATTTATTTTTCCCCTGCATTGTAAGTGAAATCAAACATACAGTGGAATTTGCAGAGAAATACATTTGCTTCAGTGCTTGGCACTGAAACTGTAGATTTCCTAGAAATGTTCCCTGTGAGATACACAGGATCTAGAGGTAGACCGTGGAGGCTGTCCGGGCACTGAGTAGATGCGGTAACGGCGGGCTTTTTGTCAGAGCTCACATGCTGAGCACCGAACCCCGTGCCTGGGGCAGGGTAGTGCTCGCAGTAAACGCTGGGCGAGTGCCATCTGCCCCGTGGTGTGCCATTGGACTCATCCCGCGGTTTACGGTTGCCAGATGCTCGCCTGAGTTTCGCACGTACAGCACGTTGTGATTTTGTTGGCATTGCTTGCTTGCTTGTTTGGATTTGTTTTTTGTTTGTTTGACTTGGGTAGCTTTGGAAACCAGTTTTCTCCAAGTGATTTTCCCAAGCTTAAAAAATAAGTAAAACGTACCAGTCCTTATTTTGGGCCCTTGTGACCTTAGTGGTAACTACAAACCCTTCAGCAGGGATGGGGATCCATTTAGCACACTTATTAGAACCGGTGTCTCTTATATTCAAACCTTGGCTGATTCTGGTGGCAGTGAAGTGTCATCTGCACACCTGCCTGGGGCAGTGTTAAAACCTTTTTGAAAATCCGCTTGACAAAGTATGTTAAGAATCTTAAAGTGTTCACATTCATACTCTTTGCCTGGTAACTAACTTCTGGAAATCTATTCTAAAGAAAGAATCCTGAGTACAGAAAAAGCATTATGCACCAAAATGCTTTTTCAGAGTGTCATTTAAAGTAGTGAAAAATTAGAGAAAAAAAATGTATTTGTCAACACTGTGAAATGGTAAATTGTGTACTAACTGATGGAGTGTGTGTAATGATGTTTATAAAGAATTTGTAGTAATATTGGAAAATATTATAGTGAAACCTAGCCCCCAAAAGGAAACCTTAGACATTAAAAATAAAAACACAAGCAAAACACAGACTAGAGAGAACCACTAGAGAGAAGTAGATTTGGGTGGTGGAACCACAGATTATTTTTTCCATCTTTCTATATCTCTGTATTTTAAGAGTTCATTGCCTTGGATTTTTTGCAGTGTAGTTCTGTGTCAGTGAGTTTTAGATTACAGAGTAAATTGTTTTATGCCCCAAATCTAAATCTAAATGCCTAAATATTTCATAAAAATAAATCATGATTGTGTTATCTTTTATGAATAATAATTTTCTGATGATTAATCCAGAATCATTAAAAATAAATGTTCATTTTTTTATTGCCAAATATAGGGGCAAAGAACTGTGATTTTTTTCAAGCTACTAAAGATAGGCTATTCTAATTATCTTTAATTTATAAATAAAGTTTATTTGCATGATTAAATATTTAAATCATTATTGTTTTAAAATGCTTGAATCTTACTGAATTATTTTTATATATGACCCTAAGAATTCGCAAAGGATTTAAGTTGGTTTACAAAGATGTATAGAGAATTACAAGGCAAGAAATTTAAAAAATAGAATTGGGCCACTACTTTGGCTCTAAGCTTTCAGCTGCTGAGAGAAATGGAATCATTTAAAATTATTCAGAGGCCATACTTTAAAAACAGTGTCTTAGGAGAAGTGTATGCATTCCTGATACTTAAAATAGAGAGAAAAGTCTTTCATGGGTCCTCAAAGGGAGGACATGTTACAAGATAATGAATAACATCCTTGAAAACATTCTCACAGATGCACACCAATCGTTTCATGGAGCTTTTTGTAGTACCCACTAACATATATACACCAGTGACATCCTATCAAATGCACTTGAATTAACAGTAACTTGGGATTTTATAAGCAAGGCCATTCAATTACATCAAAGATGAAAACAAGAATATTGGATAAAGACTTTCTAGGCAAAGTCTCTGGGGGCCACAGGTCATATACCAGGTAACCAAATTTATATGTAAGTAGTTATTGAGATATTTCTTTGACTCTTACTTGACTACTAATTATTGAGCTCTGTGCACAGTGGCTATAGTGATTAGTTATAAAGGTATTATTACATAGTAGGATTTACCCCATAATAAATGCTTAAGATAGTTCAGGATGCTTACTTACAGTTTACTAGAGTTAAAGATGCTGCAGCTCACATACGAGAAATGACTTTATAGACTCTCATCTCTAGGACAGCCCACCTTTCAGTAACTGATGGCTTTAAGTTTGCCTGGTTATATGTATCTTGCATCCTGTAGTCCTTATAAGGTGGCTGATCAGGATTAGGAAGTCAGCCTTTGGCCATGGAATAACATGGAATGAAATGATCCATATAAATAGTAACCCTACTAAACCTAAGTTCATGTTGCGGTGTTCAATGCGGTGGAGCCAACCAGACAGCTATGTTTATAAAGGCTTACAGAAATTGAAGTTAATGAACAACACTTGAATATAAACAGAAATTCTAATTCTCATTCTAGGTCCCTAAAGAAGAGGAAAGAAGCTAGAAGTGAAATAGATACAGCAGGCCAATATGATCAGATTAACTGTGGAATAAAAGATTAATAAAATACATTTTATTGAAGCTATTATAAAGTATAGAAATTAGCTCTATAAAACAAATATAGCAGAATTTATAATACATATGTATTATCATCCCAAATGGTCAGGTTGTAAACTGCATACCTGTTTCAATAATTCTTAATTGTTCAGATTTTTAGAATTTCTCTATGGGGATTGCTTTTAGATCAATTTTATAATTTCATGCTACCTTAGCAGCCTGAGGTATCTAACTAGTTTGAGGTAACATGAATGATGTTTAAGCTTCTGATTTCTTTAACTCAATTTTAGGACTGATTATTATAAGTAGCTTAATGACTTAAAACCTTAATCCTTGGGAATCTGTATACCTATATATGAGCTTATTTTTAAGGAATTTAATAATTGTCTCATTTGTATTTAATAATTTATCACCTTTAGAAATGTGCAGTTTAAAATTCTCTAACGTGGACGGTCTTAAAGATTTAAATGTATAATCTGTTTTTAGGACATGGATTTTGTACGCTTTATCATCAACTGCTTTAAGGTTTATTACCCTAAATACCTCTGTAAGTAATTTATTCCTTTATAAAAATACAAAATGTAGAAACTGTAAACAATGTCTGACAATTGTGGAGCTTTATATTATCATAGACTTTAATAGCTAAAGATTTGTTTTCTGATGAAGAGCTTAAATATGTTCATAAGAGTTGAAGCTCATATTGTAGGTAAAGCGAGAATTTTTCATAAATAATCATTGTCCTTTACAGTTAGTTTTAAGAGTTTAAGTTCTAAACTGTATACATGGCATCCTATAGCATACACATAACACACATATAGGGACATAAAAACATACATTTATTTCCAAGATTGTTCCATTTTTATTAATCTTTCAATCGATAAATTCCTTTAAAATACTTATTATACTTTAAAATATTTATTATATGGGCCCTGGTTGGGTAGCTCAGTTGGTTAGAGCATCACCCCGATACACCAAGGTTGCAGGTTCAATCCTCGGTCAGGGCACATACTAGAATCAACAATGAATGCATCAGTAAATGGAACAACAGATCAGCATCTCTCTCTCTCTCTCTCTCTCCCCCTTCCTTCCTCTCTCTCTAAAATCAATAAAATAGAATATTTATTATATGGAACCTCCTACATACAAGAAACAGATAAGCAATATTGATAAAGTGGACTCTGTGATAAACAACGCTCATACATAAAGTACATTGTTACTAATTGCTGTTTACAAATTGTCACTGAGAAAACACTTGACTACAGTGTACTGTGTTTGAATCTCACATTTGGAGTTTGTTTTTAATTGTGATTATTCCATTAATTACCTGAACAAAGAACTCCTAAATCTTGTCATTTTTGATTGATTGGATTTATATGATGGTTTCCCCCTAGAGAAATGAAGGTGACTTCCCACATAAATACTCAAATATTTTTAACCTCAGTGGGTTGAACATGAAAAGACAAAAGAGAAGCAACAGGGACATCAGAAAATGGAAACTCACAGGTCTGCCTGGGCACACCCCCGGCAAACACCACAAATAGGGTCTTTTAGGACTTGTGGCTCTGGTGATTTTAAAGCATAGACTCCCTGACTCATCTTACTTTGGCATGCTTTTGCATTTTTATTAATGTCTAATGGAGTTTGTGAGGAGCCATTTATAAATAGTCCTATCATTACCTTATAAAACACATCTAAGATTTTGTTTTGGAAAAACTATTAAATTCATGGCTCAATATAAAGATAAATTGGAATACTATTCATTCCAATTAAGTAGAGATCATGTATATATTCTGCCTATATAATGTAGCTTTGCAGGCACTGAATTTTGTAGAATCTTAAATTATGCTTCAAAATCTGTTGTGAAATGTAACTAGTAATTTCTTAATATCTTGAGTCCAAATCTTCTTAGACATATCCCAGATGAACACTGAAGTATTAAGTACCAGGTACCTCTTTGTGGATACCTTGTTCTTTACATGTTCTTTACTGTCCTATATTAATATAATCATTCTAGGAGGGTCTCTGCTCAGAGAAAAATGAAATTACATTTTTATTCTTCTGGAGTAGAAGAATAAATTGGATATCAAAAATCCTCTTTGTGGTTTCTGGTTCTTTCTCACAACTGTTAATAGTGCCATTTAACATCTTCATCTAAGAATGCAAATAATAATTCTGTATACTTTGGATTTATTGGCTTCCTGGAGCTGATAATATTAACAAAAGTAGAAATCATTTTGGCTTCCTAAAACACGATGATTTATTAAAATAGTGGGGGCAACTGTGAGAGTGGTTTAACAATATAATCTCTAGAAAATTATAATTGAAACCATAAATTAGACATTGAAATTGTTTTAAAGTTCAATGAACTTCAGCAGTAATATGACATGCCACATCCAAAGACTCCATTTACCCACTCAACAATTTTCTTTTGTACCTTTATGCAAACAACAAAAACAATAAACAAACAAAAGAATAGGCTACTTGCCAAAGGGTAGTGATAGTGCATCATTTATTTCCCATAGCCATCCTAGGTGGACTCCTCACCATTGGTAGAAGTTAGTTTAGTTCTGGCACCACTCACGCTTCACTGTCTTAGAACTGAGTCAACCAGCTCCGTTTTTTGTTGTATTTAGATCATCATTTTTCTAGGTCAAGTATAAGTGATATTACTATAGTGGTACTAAGTCACATTCAATGAATTTTTTTTCATCTTTCAGCAAAAATAGTGATCTTTGATATGCCTTGGATAATGAATGGTGAGTATATTGCTTATACTCTAAAACCAAATGTCTGATTTACTATTTCCTTTGCCAATTTGGCCATGTTTCTATGGTTATTTAGAAATGTTTATATTGTGCTTGTTTATATTGTGTCTTAAGAGGCTAAAGGTAGGACACTCAAAGGCTGTTACTAAGCAGATTAGGCCAACTTTCTGCCCCCTTGAGATGCCCACTAGTCTTGTCTAAAAACAGCCTTAGGATGTTCAACCATTCAGATAAAACTATAGTCAGAAGCCTCAATTTGTCACCCACTGGTTGGGTATTTCATAGCAAACAAGCCTTGGCTAAGTTTTCTCATGGGCTTCAGGTATTGAGGAAGAAGGTGGGATGAATCTGAAATTTACTCCGAATCTCTGTAGTCACATAGCCCTTTTGACAGTCATAATATATATATTTTAAATTATTGAAAAACACTAGTAATCAAAAAACTTCTCACAAAGAAAAGCCCAGGTCCAAATGACTTCACTGGTAAATTCTACCAAACATATAAAGAAGAAACAACAACAATCCTTTGTAAACTCTTCCAAAAAAATAGAAACGGGAATAATTTCCAGTTCATTTTTTGAGCAAGTATATCCCTAAGAACAGACATCACGAGGAAACTACAGACTAGTATTCCTTATGAATATAGACATTTTCCCAAAGAAGATATGCAAATAGAGTGACACATGACAAAATGCTCAACATTAATTATTAAAGAAATTCAAGTCAAAACCAAATAAGATAGTACTTAACACCCACTAGGATGACTGTAATCAGAGAGACAGACAGTAGCAAGTGTTGCCAAGGACGTGGGAGAATCGGAGCCCTCCTGCATTGCCGGCGGGAGTGTAGAATGGCGGGTCCTCAACGAGTTAATCATAAAATTAGCAAATGACCCAGTAACTCCACTCCTGGCTATATCTTCAAGAGAAATGAAACCATATGTCCACACAAGAACTTGTACACAAATGTTCGTAACAACATTATTCATAACAGTGAAAAGTGGAAACAGTTCAAACGTCCATCAGTTGATGAATGGGTAAACAAATGCTATATATCCATAAAATGGAAAATCATTCAGCCATAAAAAGGAATTAAATAATAAATGCTATATCATGGATGAACTTTAAAAACATGCTGAGCGAGTGAACAAAACCAGTAGGAAAAAAAACATCGTATGCTTCTATTGATGTGAAATGTCCAAAGTAGGCAAATCCACATAAAGAGAAAGTAGATTAGTGTTTACCATGGAATGGGAGAGGAGAGGGCAGGAGAGATTGCTGATAAGTGAGGGTTTCTTTTTGCTGTGATGAAAATGTTCTTAAATTAGGGAGCGATGATGGTTGTGCAACTCTGTGAATATACTAAAACCCAATGATGTGTATACTTTAAAGGGGTAAATTTTATAGAATATAAATTATATCTCAATACTGTTCTGAAAAAACAGATATAGCACTTTAGATAATTCAAGTAGGGTAACTTCAAACATGTCAACTCAGACTTTTTAAATAGAAATTAATGAAAATGTAAATGTTATGTAAAAAATTTTAAGCATAATTAGCCAGAGTAAAAATGTAATTTTCTGAACTACTGTATTCAGTGTTTATTATGCTGGTATTTTTTTTCATTTTTATTGACTTTATTGGGGTGACATTAGTTAATAAAATTATATAGGCTTCAGGTGTCCAATTCTATAGTAGATCATCTATACATTGTATTGTGTATTCACCACCCCAAAACAAGTCTCCTTCCATTATTATGTGGTTTTATTTCTTAATTTTTTAACTGATGCTTTTGCAAATTTAATGCAGGGCTCCTCTTTTAGTTTCTTTAAAATGTGCTTAGAATGTCATGATGAGAACAAGGTTTAAAAAATTAAGTATAAATCAGAATGGCGTGACGGAACACATGTAGTTATGAAGCAGCTGGGTTTGATGAGTTTATTCTTGCAGATTCTGTAAACTCCTCGTTACCCAGGCCCGAGGGCCGGGGCGGAGCGGGCGCAGCTCACAGCGCCCTGGGCGGGGCCTCCTCTGCCCGCCTGCGGCCTCGGCCTCGGCCTCCGGCCTCCGGCAGGCTTCTCGGGCGGGGTCAGGACTCTGCCCCACTACTGTGCAGCTGCTCCCTCAGCCAAAGCTCTTTGACTTAGTGCCTGGAAAGCTTAGTAGCTGGGATCATTGATGGATTTGTGGAGAGGCCAAAACTCTAACGAGTTTATTAGAGAACATTAGGGGAACTGAATCTTCATGGACCACTGAAACCTGTAAGGGACAGTCACAGTGTAAATGCCTACAGGAATTAGAGCATGTTAAGTTAGTGTCCTGCCATGGAAAGATACACACTAACAAATTGTAGCCCAAACTAATTTCAGAAGACCGGAGTTAGCATCTACAGTAAATTAATTGAGAAAGAGAATGAAAAGAATTTAATAAAGTGACTGTTTTTTCTTCAGCTGCTTTCAAAATTGTGAAATCCTGGCTTGGTCCAGAAGCAGTGAGTTTGTTGAAGTTTACAAGTAAAAATGAAGTCCAGGAATATGTCAGCGTAGAATACCTGCCTCCCCACATGGGTGGAACGGTAAGTATAGTACTTGAAACTTGTTTCTAAAATAAGACTGGGTCATGGCACACTAGGTGTATTCCTTCCTCAAGGAAAAAGGAAAAGCAATGTCATAACATCCAAAGAAAGATAATAGATTCCCCAAAACAGCAAGCAGTGTTACATTTTTTTAAGTTTTCAAGTTCTTACATTGCTATTTTTCAATGGTTCTGAACTGAAAAGTATTCAATAAGGAAGTATTCAGTATTCAGAAACAAGTATTCAGTAAAAAGTCTTTTTACTGCTATCTCAACCACCCTGTTCCCCTCCCCAGTTTCATTTGTTATATTTCCAGGGATCTGTATGCCTATATAAACAACTGTAGTATATATGTAATGTATGTATAAGCAAATATAGTATTTATATAATTCTTCCTTCTTCCCCTCCCTTTTAAACAAATAGCATATTTATCCACTATTGTGCATCCTGCCTTTTTCTTTACATGTCTTAGAGATCATTTCAAAACAGTGGGACAAGCTGTCTTACTCTTATTCCTGGCTGCATAATATTCTAATGTCTAGAGATGAACCATAAATTATTTAATGAATAACCATTAGGTATTTAGTTTCCTTTTGATGTATCTTTAGTTTTCTTTTAATTGTTTACTATTGAACAATTTTTTAAGTTAAAAGATAATATATACGATCAAGATTTTTTTGAAATGATTTTACTCCTTTAAAATAAGGGACCAGGAGTAAGTAGGTGTGTGTTAAATTCTTAATACTGTATAACAATGAAATGTATTGTGATAATGACTTTATTTATAAACTGTGAACCTGTAGAATTGGTATGCCTTGGGTTAACTTGATTGATAATATCTGTATTTGATTTTTATAATCTACTTTGTATACTGCCTTCCTGGCAAAATTGTATTCAACCAGAACCAAGGGGATAGCAAGATGAAACAATTTGGTATGTCCTTTGTTTGTTTTCTTGAATTAAAAAGCAACTTGAACTAATATTTTAATTTGAAGTTTGCTGCTTTCCTATTCTGAGATTTCATATTTCATATTTTAACCTAGAAAAACAGAGTATGGTTCATTTTGATACAACCCTTAGTTAAAACGGTGATTTGACTGACTTGTCATTTTTTAGCATCTGCCCATAGAATTGTTGTATCTTAAAATTAATGCCATTGAGTAAAATTTATTTTTTTTAGAGTATAGAAGATTATTTTATATCCCGTCTCTGATGTTAGTAGTCTATTTCTTCAGGATTGTAGTCAAAATTGTAGTTAGGACTACTATTTTTTCACAAATTTTTCCCCCAAAAAAGTAATACAATGATTTTTTAAAAATAGCAAACAATAACAAAGACTGAAAAGTGTAACAGTGCAGTGGAAAGTGCATCCCCGCCGCAGGCCACTGCGCACTGCTGCTTCCCAAGGCGGCCACCCGTCCGAGCTTCCTCTCCGCCCGGGGATGCTGTGGCCGTTGTACTATTTTACACGATCGTCGCCTCATACTCTCCTGTGGGTTTTCCGTCGTTTAGTCTTAGGCTCTCCCATATTGACTGCACTGTG